TTCTAGGCTTTTTTTTTTTTTTTTTTTTTAAATCCCCAGGCCAACAGCTAGGTAGCATTTGGGTGCCTTCCTTCTTGTGAATTAGAAACTGGCATCACATCCAGGCTGTGGCATTGTCACTGTAGGCAGATGAATTCTGGGTGAGTCCGTTAGAAGAAAAGCCTCTTTTCCTCCATACTGTTGGCCAGCTCTGCCCTGCAGCCTTGAGGGGCCCCTCTGTACAGCACGACCTGGACAGCCTTCCTGGTCACTTGTCGGTGTGTCACTAAGGAAATTCCAAACGAGCTTGATGGGGTCAGGGGTTACTCTGTCCTGAGAGTTCATTTGGCACGTTGAGGCAAAGGGCTTCAAGATGTCTGCACAGACGCAGGATTCGTGAGCTGAAAACAGAGCATCTGGGGGGCAGGCAGAGGGCCAGGGAAGGGACTGTCTCCAGCCAGTTTCAGAGGAGCCCCCGGGCAGGTGGAACTGAGTGTGGAAAGTGCCCTAAAGTCTTGGGAAACAAACTGAGCACACATCAGAATTATGTGCCGGAGGCCCAGACAAAATTGGATTCTTTTTGAAACTCCTGGGTCTTATAATTCTGAAACCGGGACTCTGGTCTTAAATTGGACAGTTTGAGTCTGGTGTCTCTCAACCAGCACCTCATTTATTTCTCTTTATAAAATGTGTCACCTTTTTTTTTGGTCACTTTTTTAACAGGACTAAAAATTTATTCCTCACTGCCACTCAAACGGACTAAGAAAGTGTAGCTTCTTTATATTCTAGGTGGGTTTATCGTGCAGCTGGTTAGGGGAGGGCGCCAGTAACCAGCTTAAAACTAGTCTCTTGGAGTATAGACAGACAGTCTTTGTGGATGACTGCCCGGATAAATGTTGGGTTCCTTTCTTCCCCTCCCCCTTTCGGGGAGAGGTTTCTGTGACTGCGTGGTGGGGAAAAAAAGGAAAGAGGTCCTCAGCTCCACACTGCGCCCTCCAGAGCCTCTTGGGCCTTGACCACAAAGTGACTTGTCTGGTCCAGTCCCATTGGCCACTAGAGCAACACCTACCTATCTCGGGAATTTCATACCAACCTCTTGTCTCCAGCCACAGAATCCCCACCCACAGCGCCTTTGCCCCTGCCCCAGGCTCTGCCAGCCCCTCAGCACCTCCAGGTCCACTCAGCAGGGTGTGGGACCACCTGGACTAGCAGTACCACCCACTGATCAGAAGTACCGCCCATTGCTCTGATGCCTTGTCAGAGTTTTCTGAGAGGCGAGGCTTACGGTCTCTGTCTGATTGTACAGGTGTCAGGTACTCAGGAAGAAGGGGAGAAAATGGTTATTCTAATAGTGAGCAGAGCTTTCTGTAATCAGGCCAGGCATGCAGCAGTTCATTCAGTGTGCATTCATCAAGAGCAGCCTCAGAGAGGGACTGTTGCCACCCTGCCTTCCCCTGGACAGAGCTTCCTCCCCTGCAGAGTAGTAGATGGGCGTAGCCCAGAGAAAGGGGCCCGGAGGCTGCCTGTCTGCCTCTGCTCCAGGCAGAATGTGAGGTCCGCCCGGCCACGCTCACTAGGTGCTCCTCTGAATTTTGGAGTAAAGCTCAGTATCAAGAATGGACTTAATGTGTTGGTCCTTGCTGGGGACAAAGGCAAACTTAATAAAGACACCACAACCCAAATGTGCTCTGCGGAAAGGCAGAGCTTTTATATTATTCAAAATTAATAGTTTTCTCTCTTCCCCAGTGGTTTGTAATGGCTGTAGAGGGAAAGACTCATACACGTTACAAGTTCTGTTGGGTCTCCTTCCGTTAGTCCGTGCCTCCTGTTTTCTTCGTGTTTATTGCCATTCCTCTAACTTTTATTCTTTGGCAAAGGCTATGAATTGGCATTTGAAATGAAGGTTTATTTGCCTGATCCAGCACGTTCTGTCACCTTCTTTTACAAGATCATTCCCAGTGACCCCTTCTGGGTGCCGACCACCGAGGAGGAGTACCTGCACTTCGGGGAAAAGGCTGATTCTGAGAACCAGGCCCGGAAGTACATGAACGCGGTACGAAAACGGAAGGGCCTCTGCGTGGAAGAAAAGATTGTGGAGCACGCAGAGAAGCAGCGAACTCTGAGCAAGAACAAGTAACTCCTGGTGGTGGATTCTCTCTCTAATAAATTAGAAGGGCCCCAGGGCTGACCCTGGAAAACTTGTTCCTGCTGCATTATCTCTGTGCACTGTCAATCTAATCGGCCCGTACAAGGGCTTGAAAGGGGCCATTAGAGAACATGTTTCCTGGGTGGTTTTTCATTAATTCTGGCACAAGGCAGTGGTGACTTACTACCACCTGTGCGTAACCCAGGGCAGGGCGGCTTGTTCTGTGCGGGGGCGTGGCGTGCAGCGTCCTCGACCCTGGGCAGCCGCGCCTCTGTCTGCCGTCAGGGTCACACCCCCCTGGCATCGTACACGTGTGCTGTAGCTCATCATTGAGTCCCAGTGCCCAGCATCGTCTAGAGAGACCACGTCCCCGAGGCCCACCTGCCTTTAATTAGTTCATCCAAGTCACTGTTAGAGCTGGTCCATCGTATGGTTTATCTGCCTGGAAAACAATGCGATGCTCATTGGTTAGCCTTTAAACCTGTTCCATGTTCTCTCATAAATTGCATCACTCGTATTTAAATAAGTGTTAATGAAAGTTATGCTTGATACCTTTTTCTTTAAAAAAAGTAAATTTTTGTGATGTTCTCAGCTATTTCTTCTTAGCCTTACTAAAGGGATATTAGCTAATGTGACAAGATTATCCCCCTTCATGTAAATCCTTTCTCAAAATCTCGGTTGCCTCATTCAGGGAGATCCCCATATAAGGAACAAACACAGTTCAGTCAGAAATAGATTTTTTAATTTTTAATGCAGCACTAATAATTTTTAATCTTTAGAGCCCTGGCATAGCTGGTCCAATCTACTTGACCCAGACTTTGGGGACTGCGGCTGGATAACTCACTGTCTAAGTTTAACAGGTACTGATACGTGGGTTAATTTAGGAAGATTCTACCACATACTGTTTTATTTGAAAACTATGATCACATGAGAAGAGCTAGCACATAGATTTAAGCATTTGTAAGTAACATCACTCAAAGTGCCAGATGTTCTATTAAAAGTATCCTTAGACTCTGCACTTTATCAGCAAATGCTGCACTTAGAGAAAAGAGGCAGAGCCCAGAAGGGGTTGGCACTCCCTGCAGTTCTGTTGGGCCAGATGTGCCGGTGTGGGGGGTGACTGTCAAGTTGATAGATTGCCTCTCTTCCTTCTCCATGTTCAGGGGAGACAGTAGTGAGCAGTAGAGTGACCACGAGGAGGCAGGCCAAGGGATATAGCGATTCTGCCACATGAGTAATCTGCCAAGAAGCTCTCAGTCAGTTCCAGCATGGGATGGGAGGGCTCCTGTTCTGCCAGCAGCGTGGCTTCTTGCAGCCATTGATAGACCTTGGGGGCCTTGGGGAAGGCTGGGTTGAGGAAGCCACAGAACCACAGCCCTCACTCCTGGAGGGTTCTTTGCACTGAGGTCCAGGAGCCACTGTCCTGCTTGGGGGACAAGCAAAGGCAACGTCAGCACACTGCTTTTTCCAGCCAGCCCCAGAGCACAGAGGGACCAGGGGAGACTGAGAGGGGTCTGTTGCCTGGGCCAGAGTTTCCACAGACCTGAGGGGAAATACCCATCTCCTGTTTTGACGCTATTGTAACTATAGTAGGTAGAGACAGGTAGGTATGTAGGTAGGTGGGGTGTGTGTATCTAGAGTATTATTTGATTGTCAAACCTGAAACAGGAAGAAAAAAGTCCCCTGCGGCCTGGTGAAGTGAGGTTCACGGCCGTGGTCCGTTTCTCATTCAGCCGCATTTCCTGGTAAGGCTGCTGTGAGTGCACACGGGGGTTGTAGGCATTGTTGCCGGATTCGAGTTGGGATCTGAGACGTCATCAACAGCAGCTGAGTCTTCACTGTGCAGAGGCCTTGGGGCATCTTTATATTTATGATATTTATAGTCTGTGCCTGAAACTTAGGTAGAAGGCTGAGATGAAGGAGCCAGGGCCTCCCTACTTGAACATTGCTGGCTCAGGGCTTGGAGGCCAGAGACTTGATCTTGAGTGATGGGGATGGGGTCTCTTCCAATCTACTGTCCCCTTCCTCTGGGCCTCCTGTTGTTTTCTGAGGAAATTCCAGAGGGCCGGGCAATAGTATCCCTCCCACAGACCCCTCCCCTGCTCACCTTGGCCTCACCGGGCTAGAGTGTTTTGGTTGAGGGTTACCTCATTGGCCTGGGGTTGGTTTGTACATCTAGGCCCGGTCTTTGGATCTGGCTGAGATGATTTTGTCTGATTCAGGTTCATAGCCAAAGGTTTAACAGCTCTAATTCTGCCGCCCCAGATTTCTCCAAAGGAAGCAGCCTTTAATGCCCAGTTTTAAAGGTCTGTTTACCCCTGCCACATCCACCAAACACATTCACAGAGCCCCGGCTTCCTCTCAGCCAGCCCTCTGCCGGCTCCTACTCCTCGGGTGCTGTGGCCCATTCCTTCCGCTTTTCAAAGAGCAGGGACGCCTGGGGAAGCAGTTCATGGACAGGCAGCAAGTGTGGGTGCTGTGGCTGCCAAGGAATGGGGGGAGCCACCCGTGGGGCAGCACCAGCAGCCGGTGGCCAGTGGATTGGGTTCAGCAGGAAGAACTTGATGAGCAGCAGGGGCTCTAGCTCTGTCCAGTAAGCACAGCAGCGCAGCCACAGGGACGGGGAAGCCCAGAGCTTCTTGGAAGGAGAGAAGTCGGCTCCAAGGCCGTGGGAAATCTGCATGGTGGCTGAGCTGGCCCTCCCTGATTACACACTTGGAGACCACAGAGCTACCGGCTTTCGAGGCCTGGTCTGCCTACCCCACCCCACCCGCTGAGCTGAATGGTTTCCCTTGCAGGGTTCCTGCTGCTGTAGAGAAGAGAAGCTGTAGGCAGAGGGGACAGGAACAGGGCACTGCCCTAGACCAGATTGTGCAGACGGAAGCCAGGGTGTACCGAGTCCATCGGCAAAGGACCTGAGAGGCAGGTAGAGAGACATTTCGTTACCTCGGCTCCTGCTCTGATGGTTACCTGTTGGATCCCAACTTGGGGTATTCATATCGATAGTAGTTCTGAGTTTTCTCCTGATCAGTTTCCAGCAGGGGAGGTGTTTCTTTTGGGGAAGCATCTCACCTCTTAAGTCCGTGAGGTTTGAGCAGGTTTGACCTCACTGTACCTGCATGTGACCCAGGCCGGGACAATCAGTGTGTTCACGTCCCTCTGCCTCATAGGAGTGGACACAGCAGATGCTCAGTAAATCCTGGTGTAGGTGTATTGATTAAGCGAAGAGGGTATCTGTAGGTAAAGGTACAAACAACACTGAGAACTTGGTCTCTCATTCCAGGGCTTCTGGGATGCACACTTAGGTTCAAGGACCACTGCCAGCGAGTCGTCACTGATGTTTATTTAAAATGACACTTCTCGTTCTTGTACTTTTTACTAACTGCTTCGTGATTTACAGGTGAAAATGCACACCATTTTCGGTGTAAACTATCCTCGTTTGGATAGTTTTCTTCCACGGTGGACAGTAGATACAGAAATTCTTAAGTGTTTTCAAATGCAAACACTTTAGGATTGGGGACTAGAAGTCAAAGGAGAAAGCTAAGCAAAAAAGTTTATTCAACTTGAAAAGGAGCATGTATGTAGTGTTCACTCTGGACAGACACTTGTCTTTCAAACCCAGTAGGAGCAAGAAAGGGAGAGACCAGCTCAAAGATCTGAGGCTCTGACTGTACTTTCAAGGCGAGAGGAGTGGATCAAGCTGCAGAGGGTTGTTTGAACATCAGATTTAGATGTTTCTTTTTTTATTTGCCCTAATTTTTCTTTTTTAAAAAGGGAAGTGACCTTATGACATGTCTAGTTATGAATGTTTACTCCCCTTCTTTTATCTTTTTTTTTTTTTTTTTAG